TACTGGTACAAACTCTTCTAATCCTGTTATATTGTATACAATCAATAATCTATATACTGGTACAAACTCTTCTAATCCTGTTATATTGTATACGATCTACTACAAACTCTTCTAATCCTGTTACATTGTATAATCTATATACTGGTACAAACTCTTCTAATCCTGTTACATTGTATACAATCTGGTACAAACTCTTCTAATCCTGTTATATTGTATACGATCTACTACAAACTCTTCTAATCCTGTTATATTGTATACAATCTGGTACAAACTTCTCTAATCCTGTTACATTGTATACAATCAATAATCTAGATACTGGTACAAACTCCTCTAATCCTGTTACATTGTATACAATCTGGTACAAACTCCTCTAATCCTGTTACATTGTATACAATCTGGTACAAACTCCTCTAATCCTGTTACATTGTATACATTCTGGTATAAACTCTTCTAATCCTGTTACATTGTATACAATCAATAATCTAGATACTGGTACAAACTCCTCTAATCCTGTTACATTGTATACAATCTGGTACAAACTTCTCTAATCCTGTTACATTGTATACAATCTGGTACAAACTCCTCTAATCCTGTTATATTGTATACGATCTAGTACAAACTTCTCTAATCCTGTTACATTGTATACAATCTGGTACAAACTCTTCTAATCCTGTTACATTGTATACAATCTGGTACAAACTCCTCTAATCCTGTTACATTGTATACGATCTGGTACCAACTTCTCTAATCCTGTTACATTGTATACAATCTGGTACAAACTCCTCTAACCCTTTTACATTGTATACAATCAGAAATCTATATACTGGTACAAACTTCTCTAATCCTGTTACATTGTATACAATCTGGTACAAACTTCTCTAATCCTGTTACATTGTATACATTCTGGTACAAACTTCTCTAATCCTGTTACATTGTATACATTCTGGTACAAACTCCTCTAATCCTGTTACATTGTATACAATCTGGTACAAACTTCTCTAATCCTGTTACATTGTATACATTCTGGTACAAACTTCTCTAATCCTGTTACATTGTATACATTCTGGTACAAACTCCTCTAATCCTGTTACATTGTATACAATCTGGTACAAACTTCTCTAATCCTGTTACATTGTATACAATCTGGTATAAACTCCTCTAATCCTGTTACATTGTATACAATCAGTAATCTAGATACTGGTACAAACTCCTCTAATCCTGTTACATTGTATACAATCTGGTATAAACTCCTCTAATCCTGTTACATTGTATACAATCAGTAATCTATATACTGGTACAAACTCCTCTAATCCTGTTACATTGTGTACGATCTAGTACAAACTCTTCTAATCCTGTCCATCGATAACAACATCATTCATTAACTCATTCATTCTGCCCCATGTATTGGATCTCAGCCGATCACAGACGGTGATATGTCAAGTGGTCGCTGGTTTTTAACCAATCTATATTAAAACTACTATTAACGTCTGAAAAGGTGCTTACACTGAGTGTTTCAGCACCTCTTGTAAGAACTAAGCGGCTACCGTATATCGATGGCAAGTGTGGAGCAGAAATAATCTTATCCACTACGAAGCTAAACTCGTTCATCACACCCCCTATCACAGGGAGGATCATGATAGGGAGATATCTACACTGATATTGTCGACATTCAGATGACATTTTGAAATAAAACAGGTGCTTTACATATTTTGTTTTCCTTTACTGGGTGATATTGTAATCTGTCAACCAAGGTATATATACCCTGATCTGACACCCAGTCATCACTAAATACTTTTTACCTATGCTAAAAAGTGAGGCCAGCATCGTATTGCAAAGGAAGTTTTTTACAATAAATAAAAAGTTACTCGATATGTCTTTAAAGTATTTGTAATGAAAATGATGTGAAATGTTAAGATATGTTTTATTTGAATTTGTTTACCAGATAATGTTATGCTGTCTCTACAATATATACATACGTTATAATACATATATTGATTAATATTATTTATATTTCAATATTATATTTTCACATAAAAATAATGTTTTATTGACATAGTTTATGATATATCTTACTTACAATATTTATACTGATATGACGTTGTAGAGAGTGTCAGAATTGTTTGTATGATCGTACATATAGCACAACCATTTGGCATATCAACAGAATGTTGAAGCCATACTTTATACAGTGTGTTAGATTTATATATCCTCATCTTGTTGCTGAACACATTAGTGGGAATATTGGGTAAAATCAAGACAAAAAATGTTATAATAGCTCGTTTGAGACATTTCGTTGTAGCTAACGAGTTTGGAGTCATTACGGTTGATTGAAACGTAATATGTTAATTCCATCTCATAGCCTCGCGTGTCAGACAAGTTAATTTGAATTAGCAGATTAAGATGACAGTGAAACTGCCGGTACTTGTACTCGTCCCACACACGCTTGTATTGCAAAATTGTGTTTGTTATAGTTTTAAAACAAGAAATGTTAGTGTTATTTATTCCTACGATTTTCTTATCATTTGTTTTCTTATTTTGTTTTATTTTTCCGAAATAAATTTCTTTATTGGAAGACTGGTTTAGGATCTGCGGTGGGTCGGAGGCAGAATAACAATTGATTAACTAACCTACAACAACAGAGTTTACAAAAAGCTATTCTACCACATTAACAAATAAAACCCCCAAATTTTCTCAATGAAACTAAACATGTATTACAACTTCATCCACTCGTGGAAAGGTAGAACCAAAGGTAAACTATTGAAATAACTTTGTAACATCAGAACAGAGTGATTCCAGAGTATTTAATTATCTAATGGTGCGTATAACAATTCACTGACGGCAAGAATGCTTATACGTACAATAAAATTGTCAAGTTAGCTTGCTCCACATATCCAAGACTCATTGTTATTAACAAAGTTGAAAGAAATACTATAAATGCATCATAAAGTGCCTTCTCACTGCACAATTACATGCCTTCATGATTTATTTCATTTTCTGTTCATTACATTTACTTTGATATACTGGGGCCGTGTAGGCCGTTTGTGTCTGGAGGCTTAATCAGCGTGTGTTTGGTCCTGTGAAGTGCCTAGTACCACATAAGTATGTCCGGTCCAGCCTGTGATCTCACGCTGTTACACGTCAGTGAGCAGCCTCTGTACCAATACCTGCCATTCAGTTCCGGTGTCACTCTGTAGAAGCTCTGACGTTGAAATTCGTGTATAAAAACGCATTGGCTGCGTTATTTGTCTTCATTGGTTTCAGCTGATATTCTATGTGCTCTGTGATCAATCTAGTTAAAGAGATACTGAATTTAAGTTGGAATTTTCATAGAATGTGTTTATATCAAAAGCAAAAATGCTTTATGAAAGTGATGTTCGGTATACAGCCAGGCAGCGTACTACGCCGTCGATACAGTGCCGTAGATTTGGCTTTTATAATTAATCATCAAGAAAAACAGTAAAGGTCACAATAAGAATGATGTTTTTTAAATTAGTTTCAGTGCTTTTTCGTAAGCACTGAATTATCATAACCACACATAGAATCACTTAGATTTAGCGGTAGAGTCAAGCCATGTAATGAATATTTTAACATGAAAGTTGTCGCAATTGCACGGAAACTTGCGTACAAAGAAGTACTGTATTGTCTAAAAGCTGAAACTACAAAGAAAGGACTTTCTCATGGAATGTTATATAACAATGTCCATTCAGCCGATCTTGAATAGATTTATTTATCTATTCGTCTTATCTGTTTGTACATAATGTAGGTGTTTTTTGTCAATATATTTTGTCCTTATTACATAAAGAGAAAACAAAACAAACAAATATCTCAGTTTTAGACTTTTGTTTCTTCCATACTTAACAGTTTTATTCTAGATTTCGGTGAGGAAAGGATAAATCTGTTTTAGGTAGGGAAACGACAACTGAAACACCCTATCACGCTAATTACAATAGGGTAGCGCCATCATTTTATATAGCGAATACATGTCGCAAACTGATAACATCAACTTCAACACATATTTCATGGAACAGTGATTATTGTGTAATGTGTTACTGTTTTTTTTCAGTTATGCGAGGAAAATGATGGGCCTGTTCTGTGGACAGGGATATCTCAACCCTGGTGAAAGTGTTTGGCTGGTCAGCAAATAACATTCTGTTAATCATCGTTCCTGAGACGGTGACATCGACCTTGAACTCTGAACTCGGAATACTGAAACGTGAATTCATTCGAGTCAATGTAATACTTTACATTAGCAAACATTTTATGAAATCAATTTAAAGTAAGATATACAAGCGCTAAGAAAAGATGCCGCGATAATTTTTAACACGGGACACGGGACAGAATCGGCGTGATGCGACTTTGCTTGCCGAGTTAATCGTCACGTGATGCCCCATAAATGGTGGGTCAAGGATCAATGATATACATGTAAAAAGTGGGTGTTTTTGTGGACTCATGTGTTAACAAATAGATGTAGCTATGCTAAAATCAATGCACCAGCTCACAACAGTAATTATATCACACTTGTCAAAGACGCACCTCCTTTACATTTAACTATAAACTGTACATACACATACACCGATATTTCATGTGTGATGATATAGACTTTTTACATGGTCATCAATATTGATGTCATTTAATAAATCAAGAACAATAATCCTCCTCGTAAATCAAGTATATAGTATAAAATATACGTGTTTCTTGGCTGAACTGTCAGATTTTGACCTCATCAAAATGCAATTCACTTGGAATAATCAATGGGAAATAGTCCTTCAACGATGATTCTTTTAATTTTACAATGAATTTCCAACCATTTTGTTCGGTGTATACGTTCCAAGTAGGTGGTGCCACCTTATGTAAAGCGGACCACCTTTCTGTGTATTCTACGACTACCTGGAGCAGATTCACCGGGTGACATCCGACCCGTATGCCTCTGACATAATCAGCACGTCTGTATGTCGGTACTGGCCAATATATGAATATCAGTCCTTATCTCTCTCGTACATCAGCTCGAGCGGAAAGTCAAATGCACCATAAGGATTCCAACAGACACAGTTTAGTGTGTACCTCGCTATATGAAAAACAGTTATAGTTTCTCTACCATACTTTCCTCGCCATAGAAACTTTTCTCAAGGACGTTTTTGTACGAGGTCTGCTATCTGTTAAATACTGCTCCGTAGACAGGTTCGCTGTCAAAACACTGCCAGATTCTTATCCAGTCTAAAATCCCGTGGTGCAGGAATACCTATATATTCAACTATATAAACGGCAAAAAATCAAAAGATGAAAAACGATGTGGGTGTTGTTCCTTTATTTAAAGTGAATTTTGGATAATTTGACGAACAGGTTGGAGTTTCGGAAAAATCCAAGTGCATTTTAAACATATGATGGTATGTATGACATGTTTCCATCAGATCGGTTGCATCTGAAAAACAACAAAACCAAGTTGGATACACCATTCGTTGCTGGTTTTGTAAAAAGAACTTCCATATATTGAAAGAGCATTTTTTCGGAAGGAGTGGATTACACTGATATGGAATAACGTATTTCGGTGGAATGTTACGACTTGTGATAATTAATTAACAAGGTGTTGATTTCACGTAGAACTGTTAATTACACAGTGATTCTATTCCGTTGATAAGTGATATACTAATGTTAGCCCAATTACTGGAGCCGCCGACCCGCGGGGGATAGGCGGAATCACAAAATGATTGCATACTGCGCGTCATAACAGCTTCGCGCGTGTTTACACCGAGTTACTCAGAACACGGGTACCAAAAATAGACAGAAGGAAAGCGCAGAGGAGCCGTCGTGTGAGAGAGGGGGTCTTTCCCTACAGACTAGGTTTACCGGGGGGACTTAAGACCTTTTTACCAGTAGGGGCCGGGGCACGCCCAAAATGGAGCGACATCAAACATAAGGTAAGAGTTCAAAATCCAGATTTCTTTATTGGAAACGTTTTAGCGTTACATTGTTGTATAAAGGTGAGAGTTATAGGTTAATAGCTTCCACATGTCCAGATCATGTGCTGCCTGTTTAAAGATCGTTAATTTCTCGAGTGGTCGAGGTTAGGCGGTAAATTATACCTATTTTTGTTGACGATGTATTTCATATATCAACATTTCAGTGTAGTATAAATATTCCTTATAATAGTTAACATGGTACGAATCGATGACAAACACGTGTAAATATGTGCATTGATAGTTTTCAGAGGTTGTTATATCTATGCTATGAAATTTGATACAAGTTCTAGATGGTGGCAGTGGGGATCAACCCGCTTCCCGATCTTGTTCCCACCCCCAGCAGATGATGGTTGCTAACATGTCGAGCTTGGAGAATGATTCATAAATTCTTCAGCTATTTTCAGCGATAAACAAACCCACCTGATTACGTTTCCTGACAAATTAATTCTTTTTTTTTATCTCGAGTATTCCCAGTTGTGTTTATGGTCATCTAACGAGTTTTTTCTAGGGATATATTTTATTTTGAATTATAGATCTCGATTCGAAAAGCCAACAACTAATAGGAGTCCATGTTGTAGTTTTACATTACTCTGTTGTGATAGCTTCATTGACTTGATTGTGTTTAGAGGATTTATGTTTTGGTAGGGCGGAGAATCTTCTAATGGTGCTACCATATCGTCTTGTTGTTTGCTTCTGGTATTTTTTCATTCCTCCATATATATCCAGACGCACAGGCATTATAACTCCATTGACACCAGTGAAAAGTTTATTTTACCGCATGGTTAACAGTCTAATTCTGTCGTCTCCAATATCGGTGACGTTTCCTCAACTTAATCACGACTCATAAACTTTGGACAAAGTGAACCTTAATTCAGGTAAGAAACATAGACAACCGTTACCTAGACTGATATATTCACGACTCCGACGACCCTAACCTAGACAAACATATCAGAGAGCCCTTACCTCGACAAGCACATCCACCAAACAGACAGACAACCTTAACACCGACCTATTACCATGGCACATACAAACCTAAATTCGACAAAATTATCCACAACAGAGACAAACAAATACAACCACAACACAGAAAACCCTTTCATAGACAAACACAACCACGACGCTGACAATGTTATCCACAACACAGAGATACATCAACACTGACAAACACATCCACAACACAGACAACCCTTACACTGACAAACACATCCACAACACAGACAACCCACAACACAGACAACCCTTACACTGACAAACACATCCACAACACAGACAACCCTTACACTGACAAACACATCCACAACGCAGACAACCCTTACACTGACAAACACATCCACAACACAGACAACTCTTACACTGATAAACACCTTCACAACACAGACAACCCTTACACTGATAAACACCTTCACAAAACAGACAACCCTTACACTGACAAACACATCCACAACACAGACAATACAAACACTGACAAACACGTCCACAACACAGACAACCCTTACACTGATAAACACCTTCACAAAACAGACAACCCTTACACTGACAAACACATCCACAACACAGACAATACAAACACTGACAAACACGTCCACAACACAGACAACCCTTACACTGATAAACACCTTCACAACACAGACAACCATTACACTGAGAAACACATCCAAAACACAGACAATACAAACGCTGACAAACACGTCCACAACACAGACAATACAAACACTGACAAACACGTCCACAACACAGACAACCCTTACACTGACAAACACGTCCACAACCCAGACAACCTCTACACTGACAAATATATCCACAATACAGACAATACAAACACTTACAAACACGTCCACAACACAGACAACCCTTACACTGACAAACACGTCCACAACCCAGACAACCTCTACACTAACAAACACATCCACAACACAGACAATACAAACACTTACAAACACGTCCACAATACAGACAACCCTTACACTGATAAACACCTTCACAACACAGACAACCCTTACACTGACAAACAGATCCATACACAGACAACCCTTACACTGATAAACACATCCACGGCACAGACAATCTTTACGCCGACAAACACACCCACAACACACCACGACACAGACAATCCTAACACTGACAAAAACCTCCATGACAAAGACAATCTTACCAACAAACACGTGCGTTCAACCCTCATCTTCACATCCACGACACCGATAACCCTAACAATCCCGACATAGATCAACATAATAATCATTACACACACAACCCTAGCTACGACACAGATAAATCTAACCTTGACAAAACACACCAACGACAAAGGCAATACCGACTTAAGCCCATCTCACACGTCCTTTACACCGATCAACATATATGCTGGCATACTCTTAACCTAAGCTCACTGACCCACACATACACCGACACATCCTAACCCTAGCAAATCTCACACAGTCCTCACACCGACCCACACATACACCAATACATCCTAACCCTAGCAAATCTCACACAGTCCTCACACCGACCCACACATACACCGACACATCCTAACCCTGGCAAATCTCACAGTCCTCACACCGACCCACACATACACCAATACATCCTAACCCTAACAAATCTTACACAGTCCTCACACCGACCCACACATACACCGACACATCCTAACCCTAGCAAATCTCACACAGTCCTCACACCGACCCACACATACATCGACACATCCTAACCCTAGCAAATCTCACACAGTCCTCACACCGACCCACCCATACACCGACACATCCTAACCTTAGCAAATCTCACACATCCTTTACACCGACCCACACATATACCGAAACATCCTAACCTTAGCAAATCTCACACATCCTTTACACCGAACCAAACAAACACCGACACATCCTAACCCTAGCAAATATCACACAGTCCACACACCGACCCACACATTTAATGACACATCCTAACCCTAGTATACCTCGCACAGTCCTCACACCGACCCACACATACACCGACACATCCTAACCTTAGCAAATCTCACACATCCTTTACACCGACCCACACATATACCGAAACATCCTAACCTTAGCAAATCCCACACATCCTTTACACCGAACCAAACAAACACCGACACATCCTAACCCTAGCAAATATCACACAGTCCACACACCGACCCACACATTTAATGACACATCCTAACCCTAGTATACCTCGCACAGTCCTCACACCGACCTACACATACACCGACACATCCTAATCCTAACATACCTCACACAGTCCTTACACTGACCCACACATACACCGACACATCCTATCCTTAGCATAGCTTAAACTTTCACCTTCCAACCTTCACCGCCTAACACGAACCTTAGCTCATCCCTCGTAGCCTTTACCCCCACCAATTCAAACTTTAGATCGTGGTATCCCACACAGCTCTAGACTGATCCACAAAAATCTAAGGTCATCCCAAACAATTCTACGCACGCCTCATAATCCTAACCACATATTACACGTATTGTAGTTTATCACCCTTCCCACACAAACTGTGCCTTGTTAGACATAGATACCCACAAGCTTTGTCTAATCCGAATCCCATACTCTTCTTTCCTTAAATACACAAACCCGAATCATCCCTCTCATCCTAACCCTGACTCATAGCATTAGCCACTCTCTACCACACGCGCAGTGGACACACTTCATACTCTCTTCTAATAAATACACGTATATCTTCCGTCCTACACAACTCTCCTACCCCTTCCTCCCAAATTAACCCTACACCCATCTTCCATACTCAATATCCTTTCAAATGGCTCATTCTAAAACTTCTAAACTAAATACAAAATACTTTCTGTGTATATTTAGCATAGCGACACACGTAATACACGCGTACTGCACGTGTATGACTCAGCAGAAGTTGTCTGGTTTTGAACTGATCTTAAAGTATAACAAGTGCAAGAGTTCTGGCTTACTGGTATATCTTCTTTGTGTAAGGACAGGACTATAGGTTTCTCCAACATCTAAGTTTAGATCAATCTTCTCCAGTGATCATAGTCTGATGTGTGTTTACCGAGTTGCTTATGAAAAAATTCTTCCCAAAGAAGGAAGTGACTTCGGTGTGGGATACCCACGAAATAACAAACTGTGTATTTCTCTTAGCTTTAACTTTCGAGTTGTATTTCGCTACTTGAACCACACAGGCACCACTGAAGGTCAGGTTTTGTCACCCAGATCACGAAAAATGTGGTATACGATATAATGTTATTTAAAGATATAAATAGACATATATATCGTAAAAAGAGAACTCCATCTTCATTAGATTGTAGCAAAATCAACTTTATTATTAAGTTTGTTATTATCATTCCTCTCTGTAAAAATGTAGATGTTTTAGAAATGAGAGAATAAATTGAGACAAAAACAAAACATTTGATTTAAACCAAAAACTACCAACGTAGTAAGTATCCACATCAAATGCATACACGTGTATATCTACGCATACAGACTACAAAGGAAACCTTTATAAATGTAAGTAATGAGATAAGAAACATTATCTGACACAGATTAAAATAGCACTGACATAACATGAAAAAAATAGTAAAGGAATTGAGATAAATTGTAAATACCAACTACAAAAACCAGTGAGATAATGAACTTTGATACATTGTAAACGATTAAACCTGGAGATCAGCAATCTTAATCTTAGAGATACACGAGACTTTGTTAAACAAACATCAAAGAGAAATAACATAAGCTGGAATTCTACAAGAGATTAATGACTAAGACATCAATAAAGATAAGAAAAACAACGAAAATAAATAAAAAAAATAAGGAATGAAAGTAAAACCGGAGATAAAGATATTAAACAGAGAGAGAGAGGTCACAAGTGATATAGATAACAACAGCGATATAGAAAACAACAGCATTAAAGATAGCAACATTGGTAAAAACAAAAACACAGAAAATGGTAACAAAAAAGAAAAGGGTCACAATAGAGATAAAGATACCAGATATAGAGGTCACAACATTGATGAAGGTAACAACAGAGATAAAGATAGCAACAGAGATAAAGATAACAACAGAGATAAAGATAGCAACAGAGATAGAGATAGCAACAGAGATAAACATAACAACAGAGATAAAGATAACAACAGAGATAGAGATAGCAACAGAGATAAAGATATAATCAGTGATAAAGATAACAACAGAGATAAAGATAACAACAGAGATAAAGATAACAACAGAGATAAAGATAGCAACATAGATAGAGATAGCAACAGAGATAAAGATAGCAATAGAGATAAATAGCAACAGAGATTACCACAGAGATAAAATACAGAGAGATAGCAACATAGATAGAGATACAAAAGATACAAAACAATAGAGATAAATAAGGCTAAATTGATGAAGAGACACAAAAATACAAAACAAGGCTAAATTGATGACTATTGAACAACTGGCTACAATTACGTTACATCAGGGGATGTATTACTCTGATCACATCCATGTTAATTGACATCAGTGTCAGGAGAGAATATCTTAGCCAAAATCACTGACCCGGTGTTGTCTGTAGGTTTTCATATCTCCTGTCATTTCTTTGTTTGTAAACAAGATAACAAGAGTGCATAAGGTCATAGGACAAAGGATGGCGTGGAGAGAATTCCTTGTCGGGGAAACGTTTTCTTAATCATTGAACAGGAAACATTATCTCTTATGATGGCATTTCTCACTGTTCTGGAAAGAACAACAACATTTTATTATCATTTCTTATAAGAATTACAAAGATGTTCCTATTTATGACTTCCAACGATGGTTAATTAACATTAGAACACTTAATTAAGATATGTATGAACTATTCATGACATTAAAAAGTGTGAAACCTCAAACAGATGGAGAATTAAGGTATCAGCTAAACTTGAACATCTCGTTGATGGTGACCGTACATCTAGGTGTGATTGTCATCTCCTGGTGATAAATGAAGAGTCTTGGACTCGTGCACCTCACGTAATGTAAGCTCGACAGCCTGGAAAAAAGGGACACCAAATACATACATACATGTCATAGACTTACGTACACGAGGGTTGTTGATTTCACTGTCAAATCTTAAGAACTATCATAAAATGTATAAGAGTATAACCTAGAATCACTTGACCTTGACCTTAATCTCGATCAATTGCGTACTTATGTATTAACAAACATGGCAAATGTTAATCAAGATGGCGCCGTCCAATCAAGTCGTAACAGACTGGTGGTATACATCAGCCTACAGGCACTGACAACACATGAGCTAGTCTTCTTGTGTTGATATGCCAAACATTTACGGAATTAATAACATTTGCCAAACACTGTTTTTTAGGAAATTGACATCACTAGCCGTCAGTCTCATCACCTCACCTCAGCTGTGTACAACTCACGTCTTGCTCGCGGTGATGTAAATTCGCGCCATATTCTAAGGACGAATTAATTGTTTTTGTTTACAATGTCGATGGTCAAAGATTGTTTTCCCTGTGGAGGGATTGGCAAGAAGGTGAAAGAATGAGAAAATATACAGAGATACCTTTCGTTCATATGTGAAAGCACCTTTAGGATGATACAGCTGAAGGGAGGGGGGATTAGGTAAGGGAGAAAAGGTACAAATATATCTCAATGGGCTTGGCAGTGTGTCAACTCAAATAGTGGTAGGCAAGCCTCAGTCGCGTGTACAGGATATTTTTAGAAATACTAGTGTAAAGAAGACTACACTCTATCTCGCTGCCTCAGTAACGAAATACAGAGAAGGTCGAAGAATTAATCTCTTCTGTCCATTTTAGACTTTTGTTTTTGCTCATAACGACATGTACAGACGGGCGTAAAATTACTCCACCAGCAAGACACACCTGTAGTTGTATCAAGAGCATTTTAAAACACTTTCTGCCATAACAACATATATCTCAATTTATTCTGTCCGTACCAGAAAACAGAATTTTAACCAGATATCGTTTGACACTCAGTTAAGAATTTTCGATACTGATGAAAGGGGAAAAATATCCATTTAATGAAATTGTAAGTCCTACTGATTATATACTGATATAAATACAAACTTTCATCACAATAACGTTAGTTTCTACTTAATTTTCTTCTCCAAACCTCAACGTTGGAGTCAGGTCTGTTAAGGATTCATGACTTTTTTAAACTCAAACAGAAACAATGATTTATATAAGATTATGTACACATGTTGCTTCCTGATGGTTCCCTATCTTGTCCGTCTGTTCGTATGACATACTTAAAATCGTAACATTAGTACAAAATAAGACAGAAGCTCTAATATGAATACAATGTAGAGACAACACAGCCAAGGCCTATTCATGACAACCCTTCTATGTAAACAGTATCAAAGTGTAAAACTCATTTTTCTATATTATTGTGAGGTTTTGATTCATTTTGATTCTATGTGAATCCTTGTAAAAAATCAAAACCTGTTTGCTATTAAGATCGTCTTTTGAGCTTTCAAGAAAAAAATACGTAAAAAGTGTCTGTAAAGTAAGAGAGCACTTTGATTAAGGAAAGAGGTTGGGTGTGGTTGTAGTAGACAAGTGTCACTTATTGAGAGATAAAACATGACTTACATCGCCATCAAATACGCCTCCTACACAGTTTTAATGGATTTTTAAAGAAAGCTTAATATTTGTTGGCTTGGCGTCGTAAATAATTACTAGTAGTAACATCCCAGATCAGATTCTAAAAACAGAATTGTAGATTAGAAAGTTAAGTGATATAGATGTTTCGCCTGGGATGTCGTCTGCTCTTATGTGACTGATGAACTTTAAATAGATTTATTACTGATAATGGCGTCATCATTCGTTCTCGAAGGTTCATTTGAAATAAATTCTATGTACACGTATTATATTTTTTTTTTAGAAAAAAAGATTTTGTATTATGTATTTTTGAAATTGAACAGTATCCCTTACATACAATTTTGAGCAATAAAGGTAGAGTTTGATTAAATAATGTATAGAGGATCTATGGTCGATTATTTTGTCATTATCCCAGATGATAAAAACTATACCAACGCCTTTACTTAATAGATACTTGTTTACTATGTTTTGATTTCGGGACTACAAAATTAATTTGTATGATTGCAGTTACAAAGATGCCCTAGTCAAGAGTGAGTGGCCTTGAGGCCATCACTATGGTAACGTCGGCCTGAGGTCGGAGCGGATGAGCGAGAGTCACGGAGAATCAAGCCATTCCCGCGCTTCCGAATCGCCCGCACTTAACCCAGCCTCAAGCGACCTTACTCCAACAAATAATGCCAAGGATAAATTCAGTGAAATCCAGTTTTGCAGCTCAGCCGCTATCTTCAGTCCTCAAATTGAAAAAGTTCACCGCAATGAAACCAACCTGCCCGAGCAACTTGCCACACCTCTCACGCTCGTAACGCTTCCAGAGGATCAGCTAATTTCCCTACGCGCGCCTGGTCGTACGCCAAACACTTCAATTCCGCTCAAACCTGTTGAGGAAAGCAACATGGGAAACCTATTTGGAAGCAATAAAAAGAAGAAGAAAAACACACAAAAAGGAGATGATGAAGAGATATGGAAAAAGATGGGCACAAATGATTCTACTACCTCATCGCCCCGTGCTATAAATAAAAAAAGCAAGAAAAAGAAGGATGCGAAATCTAAACGAGTTCAAACACCCTCACCGCCGAGAGGTGGGGATGGATCTCTTAAAGGGAAGGACCCCAAACGATATGCAATGTACGAACCGCAGCCCAACCCGAAGGATCCTCAGACACATACCGTCAGGTCACGTACTTTGCCGGCACGAGTCGATCCTTCGGAATTTCGTAAAAGTATCGGCGACCCAATGGACTTCCGAATGGCAGACGATGTGTCTTCCGCCGGAAGTCCAGGACACGCAACTCCGGAAACTGCAACACCGCCCGTTCAAAAGTCACCTGTTCCCATATACAAGAAAATCCACGTCAACCGCGACAAAAAGTCGAACGACAGTAGCTTGCCTAATACGCCGAGAGTAAATCACAAAGATATCACTGCGCAATCAGTAGATTCAAAGACTGATAAAATCGCAGAAATTAAAAAAGCACATCCTGTGCCTACTCCAGGAACTGGAAGTCCAAGACCGAGGGGATATATCTTGCCATCCCCGCCAAGCCGACCGAAATTTTATTCAACAGAACCTGGATCAGCAAGTCCAAAATTACTGAGAGTGAAACAGCAAATGCCGTTGACGTTGAACACGAGTTGTGGTGATTCTAGCTACTCCACCAATGAAAAGTTAGCATCAGTACGTGCCAATTCAAACAAAGGAAACACACATCGTTCAGATCAAGTAAAGATTAGCAAACCAAATGATGTGCCTGGTACTCTTTTAGCGTGTACAGTGAGGCCTGGTCAAGCTGGTTCACAGCTCGACCATCAACGCCAGGTAGATGCCTCAGATATTGCTATGCAAAAGGAAAATGAAGAAAATGAACGTAACTTGAAACGGGAAGAACGTCGCAAAATGGCGGCAGTGACAGACTTGAAAAGTGTGCCAAAGCTCGAGGAATGTCAAAAGATCCAAGAAACTGTAGTTGAAGCAGTGGAATCTCGTATCACTGAGTCAGAAAAACACGAAGTTACGTCCGGGCCTAAAGTAGCTATTCTTTCGACTATTCCTCCTCCCGAGAAAGCTGTTCTGTCACTTGTTCCTCCCCCAAGTCCATCTGCTATGGACGCATTGTGTGAGGAAAATGAGGATGATACAGATGATGATAAAATTGATGACAACGATGATGATGATAATCATGTGAAATATAGGAGAAGCAAGGAGGTCGAAGAATTTGGTGGCATTGTTTGTCAGCGTTTGTCTCAATTGCTAGAAAGCCAAGATGATGGGACACTAAAATTACAGTTTATTGAGTCAAGTGGTCCTTCGTCTTCATTATCACCAGCTAGCCCATGTATGATCATGAGTGGTGGAAGTGACATAGACAAGGAACGAATGGAAGATGCAGGCCTTGGATACTCAAGTATGTCTCCACCAGTGGAGACAGAAAATGTCTATAAAGAGAAGTTAATTCCGAGAAAAGTGTTGTGTGTCGAGATGACAAAACCGTCTTCGACTTTCTCTCAAAGACTGGAACGATCCTCCATTTCCACCCGGTCAACTCAGGGAAGCAACTCAGCATCGGACCTGGACGGGAGGGTCAGTTACAATGACTCAAAACCATCAAGGTCACGTGAGTTTATTAGAGACCGCCGTGAAAATGAAAGTGACATTAGTTCGTCGGGAGAGGAAAGTTCCTACACCAGTGATTCGGAATACTCATCTCGCAGCTACGATGATGAGAAGCATGATCACGTGACTAGTTACAGAGAAAACGAATATTCAATACCTTGGGATTTACAGAGATTTCCGCGCAGCGCCAGTTATACGTCCGATGGTGTTGATATATCGGACAGTGATATTTTTTGTGAAAGTGAAGTTAGAAGCAGACGTGATCGTGATCACATTGTGCATGTCCAGAGAAGTTCTGGGCATTGTCGTGAAAGGAGTGAACAAGACATGTTATATCGTGATGACGTGTCTGACAGAAGGTGGGATGAGCATTCACATGACAAATACAAAAAAGATACACGTTTAAACAGAAGTCGACAGGTCTCTGTCGAGGAGCTTCGTATAGAGCCAACTAGTGTTAAAAGACAGCTATTTGAACTTCCTCTGCATTTATGTGAAAATAAAATCACAAACGAAATAGTGGAGGCCGAAATAAAACCGTCATTCGTCACTTCTAGTGAAAAGACATCGTCTAATATTCCAAAACGAGGTTCAGAAATGATGAGTGACGTCATAGATGCATACACATCCGATGAGATTGGCGTTCCGAAACGAAATGCACCCATGGTACCCCCTAAACGTCAATCAATGTTGAATGAAGAAATATGTATAGAACCGCCGTCAAATCCGTCGGCACTTGACAAATCGCTAAAGAAAATTTTTAATCAAGAGGAAGAAATAGAGGAACGATACCCGGAGTTAGCTCCCTTACATTCCCTCATATTAGGAGTGGAAGAGGGAGGCGCTCCCTCAATGGAACCATTTTTTGAATTTCGACCTGGTCAGCTCCCGACTTTCACCCGCGTGCCGTTCGGATCCCGGAGATCACTGGCTTATTCCGAATCTGATCTGGACATGTCTGAGCAGCGAGATGACGTCAGCTCTGACAATATGGACGCGGATGACGAGGACGATGAAGAGGGAGGAATCGTGATGCTCAACAGGAGAGAAGTGGAGGACGGAAAGGTGTTGTACGGAAGGACATACACAGATTTTAACAACCGTGTGGAGGTCAAAGTAAGTCAGAAAGTGTTAAACACAGCATTCCGGGAGAGTGACGATAACGACAGCGTCTTCCTCGAAGAAGACGACTCTGACGTCGGCCGACGCAGACCGACTAAAGCATGGGCGCATCATAAATTCGACATTCCTCCTCCCCCTCCCGAATTTGATTTGACATCCTCTTCCCCACAACCTCCACCTCCTCCCTCTCCCTCACCATCACCACAGCACGTGGCCCAATCCACCCTGGATTTGACTTCCACGTACTACGCCATTGGTTCACCCGCAGAGGTAGGGGGCGTGGTATTTGATGATGCCAGAAAACAAATGGAAGACATACATATGCAATTACAGACACTTAGAGACCAAATGGTCCACATGGAGGAGGACACCTCAGGGTTACCAAGGTCTAAAAAGTCACAAAGGTCATCGGGGTCTGTTGGATCATGTACAAGAGCAACGTTGACAGACTAATGTACCAGTGGGGACGCATTCCCAGTGAGTTTCTTTGAATTTGTGTCAGTTACGATAAGTACGTTTTAGCCAAAACTGCATAGGCCACGACCTATGATTTTGTTATACATGAAAACAGACAAACAGTAAATTGGTCCAGTCAGACAACTTTATCGGATATGGGTTAGCGATATCAGATAGAGCTTGCTTATTAGATATATCAAAGATACAACGGAATACATTCGACATACGGGAGCGCTGCATGTGCATTTCCTGCCCTTTCCTACCTACAAGTATGATTACCATTATATATATACATTCTAATATTGACACACACCTCCACTATATAACCACTACACCACTCATATTACATGGTATAGCATGTCTGGAATGACTCAGCCACAGAATATTGTGACTTGTAACCACCCTACACTGTAATATGTATCTTAATAATATTACTCTTTTTTTATATCAATATTTCTTGTTCTATTAAATGTGTTACATAAAAAAAAACTACGATGTCTCCAATACTAGATTGTAATAATATATTAATGTGATATAACCTGAATATAAATAGATATTATTACAATAAAGGTAGTATTTTTTTTTATAATTACAGTATAATATAACTATTACTACATAAACAATACAATTATGACGTCACAAATCAGTGTCGTAACAAAGCAGTGTAAAAAGAACAAAGGATAGAGTCAAAATACAGGTGTGACAAAAATCTACTTTCGTAAATATAAGCTTTATGTTAAACAAGATTTTAAGTTGTTCGTTTATCCTTACACATACTTCTTTATCCACAATCACAAGTGATATATGTATCCACTAAGGTCTGAATGAAATACAGTAGGGGGTCCGTTTTCAATTAACAATTACTTTTGTCTTATCAACTTACTCTGAATGTACCAGACGATAGAAGAATGATCATCTTTCGCGTCACCTTGGTTCAGAACGTTTAAGGTTTGTTACAAACATATTTTCATATCATTTATTAATTTCGTATCGTTTCTTATATTGGTTTTCTTTTCTTTTAGAGATCAAGAGTCATGTTAGAGTCAGAGACCAGTGATGGAGAAGATTCCGTTTTTATATGAGAAGGCGATCAAAGAAAACGACTACACTTATCCTTTATGTATTATTCTCGCCCACATGAGTCCTGTGAATGATGGAGCCACCCTGGGAGAACTGTTACGTATAGAGATGCGTCTACTCAAATATCAAAGTGTCTGTGAGGCCCAATATAGGGTATTTATAATTTTACAATAAAGATGGTCGCGGATAGCTTCGTTGAGAGGGTCCTCACAGGTTATTATTATGTAGTTATTTAAGTCGACGCGTCCGGTGCTATTTCCAACTACATAACTGTTTAAAAATAACTTAGCATATATATGATACCTGAACTATTTTCCAGTGTGCGGATTATATATAACATTTCATATTTTAGATTTTATCGGTATACATTATGCATCACATTACAGACACTGTAACTATCTACCTATATTACCATATGATGTAGATAGCGAGTATGGTTATCTTATCGTTATTGGTGTGTACGTGGATTTTCTAACATTACCTATATCGAACATAACCCACGCTGCATTGTTTGCCTCATCTGAAAATCCATTTCATATTTACATTGTTTTTTCACTCTAAAATCGTAACTGGAGCAGTGTTGATAGTTTTATCGTAAAGGCCTGCCCTAGCTAAAACCCTGCACATTTATCATTTGTATTCCTTTAGCTGTATCCATGGAAACAAGAAAAAGCATTTGAAATAGATAAGTTAATATCCCGTTTAGTTTGATATTATACACAACAGCGGCAATAGAACTTGCTGCAGCATAATGACCCGAGCAGAAAGAGAGGCCGACTTCTATGTGTTGGTCTACACTTAACCAAGACAAAACCCCAAACTCCGTCGTTGATAAGACGTACATGTACAGTATATCTTTTTATCATATGGCTTGTTCTTAAAAGCATAGCATCATATTGCGACGCAGAACGCTAAATAGATAATCGATGGAATGGGGTTCATTTTAAATGTTTTTAATAGACATTTTTCTAAATTGTAATCCTTTCAATTAAAAAAAAAAACTATTTTAAATAACTCAACGTGTACAAGTAAGATAAGATTTGTTTGGCTTTCAATAGTTCACTTGAGGTCGGAAATCGTATAGATGCTTGGTTTGTGATAAGTAGAATCACGACGGTATCGCTAAGACAACTTTGGTGTGTAAATTATTCCAAAGTAGATCTACTTACGACTTCCGTGGCCAATATGGCACTCGGTAAATAAGATATATGGTAGTGCTTGCGTTCGTGAGGTCTTCATCTTGTATATATAGTAATGCAAGAAATCGAAATCGGTGATATCATTTTTATTGAGAATTGGTTGGAATTATCACGAGCAGGCACAGAGGAGTTGTGCACCAAGTACGTGTAGGAGTTACCTCCCTTCCTCTCGTTCTAAAATCGAATCTGTCTTCCATCTCCGCGCGTGTCTTCATTGATTATCCAACCTTCCCACGCAAGTAGTAAAAATCCGTTAAATCTTTTATTAGTCGCGGATCAAGGTTTATTTTCTTTTGATATGGCGACATCTTTACAATTCCGACTTAACAGTTGTCAGTATATCAGATCATGTGTACTCCTACATTACAAATAAATACAATATACAAATATCAACATCAGTCAATCTTGGACGACCTCTCCTGCGCGGCGTGTTCGTTTCATGAAATAAATATGCATTCGACAGTGTACTGTAAAATGTATTATTGTATGTTTAATGGTCACAAACCGTCCGATTCTTATATAAAACTCCAACAATTCTAACTATGCCGTCCAGATAATGGAGGACCCAACTGGTTGATAACAGATTGTGTGTCCTGATATCCTTAAGTTAATAAATTTGTAATATATGTTTGAAATGTATACATCGTGTGTGTGAAATATTGCTATAATTGTTAATATTATGATTAAACTGAAAAATCACCAATAAAGAAAAACAATTTTACATATACTACATATTTACTTATATGTTCTCCTATTTTTTTGTCGTCACTGTTGTTACAGTAAATATGAACCAAGATCAGTCCCTATATTATTCATCAGAAACATGGCGAAATGTATATATTTCTGCGACATATATTTCTGGAGAAAAAGAAATCTACATTTGGAAAGTAAAATATTTAACTTGGTTCATGTTTAAAATCTAACATGGTTTACCAAAATTTGTGAACGACTTTAAATTTTTTATCTCTAGTTAAATCGTATATCCGGTAATCTTACTTAAGAACTTGATAACATTTCCAACAATTCAATACACAATCGTATTTTTTTAATCTTGGGATTTGAGCCATCTCAATTATTCACAGTGGACTAATATATCAGTATTCTGGTCTTATAGTGAAAGTATTCATCATTCTATAAATAGGGTTTTTTCTTTCGATTTATTTATTTACTTATTTATTTATGTATTCTTGTTTTTTTTACACGTTTTGTTTTTGTCGGAGAAAATAAGCAAGACTAGACTAAGGTTGAATAGATAATCTTTATTTGATCAAATAGCTGTAAAGTTGCGTAGACAAAGTTCCGCAGAACCCATCATCTACTAGTTTCCTCTATAACAGTTGAATGTGATACATCTAGTATTTGTGTTATTTACATGTGTACTATGCAGAATACAGAATATTTATCTGTGTTGTTATACAGCGTGAATATGAGACTGTCTAATCCTGCATAACAGGAAACCAGACACCCGGCCATGTAAATACCATTATTGTACCGTGCACGCTTTTGCTTACGTAATTCGTCATCATAGAATTATGGCAGAATCTACATGTGACTGCAATTACCAGTACATCGCCGCCCAGTCAGGACTGGATGAAAGTCCGGAGTGGGTCTCAATATAGGACGAAACCTCACATTAAAATGGCAACTGTGCTAAGCTTTAGATACACAACTCTAGTTAAGCATAACAAGGTGCTCCATTATTATGGATCAATCTTTTACAACCATTCAAAACTCGAACAGCATTATATTTCAAATATGGTATCTATGGAAGGCAGCGTTGTCAGCAGAGTACAGAAAGTGGAATGAAGATAAGACCACACAATAACTAATTTATTTAGAAATGATGAAGGTAAATTAACCTCGTACAAATGAAATTAACTGCGAAAATTGGGAATTCCATGACCTCAGAGTCTCACATTTCCCCTTGGGAGGGTTTCAAAATTACTGTATTTGAAGTATTAGGAAGTTACATTTGGAGCACGATTTGTTTAATGTCCATTGGAAATATTTCAAACTTTTGTGAGAATTGTAAGTATAGGATGACGGCTTAATGGTAAGCAAACCTTGATCCCTGGCTGATCCCCAGGGGCTGATGAGCGGGGTAAAAATGGGGTCAAATTGGCTCAAATTTCAAAAGTCTTCTCAATACCCAGCTGCGACAAAATCAAATCAAATTTTATGGATGGGAGTATCTTAAGATGCTTTACCAAAGTATCTTTTTTCATGACTCTATGATCTCACATTTCCCCTTAATTGTTACATAAATAATATCACTTAATTCTAACTATCATCAACATCATAATTTCTATTTCAATACAATGATACCTAAACCAGACCTTTTATATTAAATATTGCTTAACACAAGCAAGGCTGCTTGACCTTTATATTTCATTTGCTTGATACAAAATTCATCTGTTTATTTTTCGAGATTCCGTGAAAAAAATTTTAGAAAGTTTGGCAAAAGATCGGGGCAAAAAAAAAAAAAAAAAACCAGAAAAATATTAAAACGCGCGAAATTCAAGTCCAGTAGTCAACTTTTTCATTACGCGTGAATCCTTCATTCAAAAGGTAATATCACTACCAGAGACATATATGTTATATACGTCTCTGTCACTACACATGCGATATACACATTCTATGTATGATTATAATACATACTACAAAGGTTAGTCAATAACAACGGTGATTGTAAATATTGTTCTTTGAAGACGTTCTGATTATTACGTCACTCGGGGACACTTTAACGTACCATCACACTGGAATTTCGTAACCTGGACATTCACTCTGACATATTACACAGACAACGAACGAACCAGTCCCCACCGCTCATTCATAGGTTTCGGCACATATTCGCATGAGACTAAAACCGAAAGCAATGTTTTGTCAAGTGATGTGATAGCTAGAGATAGGTTAGTTCAGGAGGATGAGTTAACTACACCAAACGTAGACCGTCACGATAATGGCAAAGGGACAAATAGAAGAAGAAGAAAAAGGATATTTCAAATATGTTTTATCAAGACCATAAAATAAAACATGATATCCTACACCAGTATACTAGTATTCCAGTTCATCGGATTTTTCGTGAATATTTACTTTTGCAACTAAGAATTCGTAGAGGAATTCGTCACTAGGTATCATCAAGAATTTATATGACTGTATAGTGACCTTCACCTATTGATTGTAGTGTTAGCCTTATGCCTGTCGAGCATTACAATGACTATGTGACGATCTCTACTCTCCCTACAGACCAATTTAATGCAACCCCGTCCGACGCTCTAAGCATCCACCTCGTGTGTTATTATACCAACCACCCACATAATAGTAGTATATCACATATCAGTTATTGCCAGGGTGATTGAATTAATGATGACTTCGAAAGTACAACAAGTTGGCAGAGTGTGATCAAACAGCTCTGTGCCATTTCCATCCGCTCCATCACGCAAGCTTCAAAGCTACGCATGAAGGTGACAACCAAACAAAGGGCGTCCAGCTAGACTGTACACAGAGATAAACTTCTCCCTAGTGATCCGGAAGGACAAACATGTACACAACAATTCCTCCAGTGCTCTACATGTTTCTGTATATCAGTATTCAAACCCACAACGTTTACACCTAATTGGGATAGGGAAAAAGAGAAAGCAAATTCATCTAAACAATAATTTTTGTTTGACTTCTGGAAGAAATTTGTTCAAGGGATTTGGATTACATTTTCATTCAAAGGTGTTTACTTTCGATTTAGGAAAATCCCGTTAGGCTGGAATACAAAAAATATGACGACTTTCTTATTTTTGATGACTGGTTGAATTTAGTTTTAGTATATATATTAGACTTACATGTAGTTAACGATCATTCGCCTTGAAACACACAGCAAAGTGCATGCATTCATAATTTCCTGTTCCACGTGAATAAGCGATTGGTTTAAAGAAAGTGTTGAATAAATCTATGTGTGTTGGACGGTTTTAATTGAAATTTTCATAATTCAAATAATTATAATAATTCCAAATGATTTCCTGTAGTCCGCTAGGAAAATATTAGGCCACAGAGTCGACTTCTAAAATATAGTGTTATGAACATTGGAAAATGCAACTTTATCTTTCCGTGTCCCCTTTTCTCACTGTCTCCTTTCACTCATTGCTTTTATTCAGTCTACTTAATTCCCCATCTTTCCTCGTCTGCGGAATCTTCAGAAAGGTCGTAATAGTGGACTAAAGCCCATAAACAAATAAAGTAGAGTTCCAAGTTCATTCGGACTGTTAGCCAAATGTGTTCATCAATGTGAACACAGAAAAGTACGATGGCTGATTCCGGACACCATAATATCGCTTTGTTTAATGGAATGCGATACCGCGAAGCCAAGAGGGAAATGGTCTCGCTTCGCGGTATCGTAGTCTCGTCTCGCCGTATCGTGGTCTCGCTTCTTGGTATCGTGGACTAACTTCTCGGTATCGTGGTCTCGCTTCGCCGTATCGTAGTCTCGCTTCGCCGTATATTGGTCTCACATCTCCGTATCGTAGTCTCGCTTCACGGTATCGTAATATCGCTTCGCAGTATCTTGGCCTCGCTTCTCCGTATCGTTATCTCGCTTTGCCGTATCTAGGTCTCGCTTCGCGGTGTCGTAGTCTCGCTTCGCCGTATCGTGGTCTCGCTTCTCCGTATCGTAGTCTCGCTTCGCGGTATCGTAATCTCGGTTCGCAGTATCTTGGCCTCGCTTCTCCGTATCGTGGTGTCACTTCGAGGTATCATAGTCTCGCAATATCGCGTACCTGTAAACATAGCGATATTACGATGTCCCGAATCAGCCACCATAATTATGCACCAAGTCCAATCTATGACGAGTTTCCACAGGAGACGAAACTAGCCACTGAGGATAAAAATATCTCAGTAGTAAATATTTTTAAACGAAATGATATTTCGAGCTCACGGGAATGATTAAACTAAGGAAATATGAGTTATGAACACATAACGATGCAACCATTCGAAAAATAGTGATATATTCTGTACCACGCAGTCCTTATCTTCAATGATCAAGCATTCAAAAGTTGTTAACTATTTGTTTATCTTTGAGGCTGGTTACATATTAAGTAATTTCCTTATACTGTTTTATCTTGAAATAAATATGGTTTGTGTCAGATATTCAATATTCAGCTGACTACGAGATGCGGTATTTAAATTTGTGGTGAAATTGATAAACTACCAATCAAAAATATTGTCTAAGTTTGAGTACTAAGCCAATGCTTTTGCCTTAAAAAATCTATTGGGATAATCTTTAGACTCCCTACTGAAGGCCTGTCGGTTTATTGGTCCACTAATGATGAAGATGAATTCTGTGCTTATGACGGTTGTCAGGAAAAATGGAATCATTCAAGGAAAAATACAAAGTTCATCATTTCTTTTGTGTGTGGCAGAATAGGCGAGTATCCAAGTTCAAGGCATAACTTTGGGATAAGGAATATGTCAGAATCCATGACTAAGTTGGTGAAACATCTCGGGCTGTCTTAGATAGGGAATATTCATTTTGAGAAGGAAGTTTTGGCTACGTACCTCCTAGCCTCAGTCTAACAGCGTTCTTTCGTGTGATTACTTAATTTTGCCTTCTTCACGGCAATCATTTTCATAATCAGGCTACCTGATTGGGTGTTATCTAGATGTAAGATTACAACGTGTTCATTTCTGTATTTCCTGCGATCATGGATAACCTCAATCTCTCCTTGATTTTGACTTTGAAAA